GTAATTCCATGTTCACAAAATATCATAAGCATTTTTATATTTGTGAAATGTCGTGTTACTCAGATTTTCGCAAGAAATTTAAAATTAGCGCATATGTTAATCTTTTTTGAAGAATACTTTTCTTTTCAAAGCAAAATGGACATTAATATAATATCTGAATAGTGAAATGGACATGGCGAATCTATTTTAATGGAAAAAAATAATACTTTCCCGCACAGACATTTGAACATAATAGAAATAAGGCACAGCGTGTTAAGTTATATTTTACTATTTTGTTCGTATCAAACAAAAATCGATAAAGTTAATGTAATTAACATGAAATCGTTTTTTAGTTTATTTTGTTTTACAATACATTAATTACATCATCAATAAATCAATAAATTCATCAGTAAATCAATAAAAATACATTCTAATTGACAATCGTTTTACAGTAGTAACGACTCAAAAATAGTGGCAATTAGCATGTATTAATTGTAACTAAATGTCTAAAAATATATTTGAAATTGACATTAAATTGAAAATATATTATTTAATCAGATTAAATAATTATGATAATACTACGTCAGAACCTTCGTTTTCTAATTACAATAATATTATAAACTCCATATCACTTCTTACTAAGGAAAAGGAGCGAAAAAATAAAATATACTGTGTACAATAAGGGATTATCCATCACATTTATCGTCGTAAACAGTTTTCGTCCACCGCATTTCTCTACTGTGGATTAATCACCTCAAGTATAACTTTTATTTGGTTTTTGCACGAAACATATTTCTCTTTGAGAAGGATCAAATGCAAAGGTTCAATGATTTGCTTTCCTTATAGGAATTTGCTTCCACACCGACAATGCACTCTACCGTGTCACCACAAACTTCCTCTTATGGGCGACATGCCTGATTAGCGCGACACAACGTCCTGCCCAATTACGTGCGGCAGCGGCGGCGATGTTGGTGGCGATGGCGGCGGCTTCAGACATCGGCCTCACACTATCTAGGATGATCATTTTCCACTTCTCCTACTCACACGTCGGATTCATCATAGACTGTGTCGCCACATACATAAGGTATTACTTTCCTAATATTACTTTCGTATGGTCGACCCCCGACGTTCACTTCTGTTTTGAAGCCATTTTTTACGCGAGGGAGAAAGAGAGAGAGATGAGAGAGAGAGAGAGAGAGAGAGCAGAGAGATGAGAGAGAGAGAGAGAGAAGGAGGGGATAACGAGAGAGAACAGGCGTTATTTTTAAGATTTTTAATAAATTGCACTAATTTCAAGAAACTATTATCCTAAAAGTAGTATTTTTCCAGAATATTGTTCATAACCTTATTTTAAGACATTTTTTAGAACAGATTGTATTCTTTGAGTAGATGAAGAACATAATATGTTTTAAAAATGCGTCGATTTCATGAAAGAAACGCACACTACTTTTTTTAAATTGAACATGACCTCATTTCAAAATCTAATTTAGAAGAACTGATTTTTTAAGAAAAAATATTTTATCTCCAATAATTGATGGAAGTTGCCGAGAAAATTGAGACACATTTTTTTAAAATTCAAAGAGTGCACCGAAAATAGATCCTGTATCATTTTTACATGGGTACTTCACTCTGTCTCAGAAAAGCATTTAAAGGAAAAATTGAAAACCATTTTTGAGGAAATTTTGAAAATGTCTCGTGGCTTCATAAAAATTACCCTCTCCCAAAATGCAAACTATCCGTTTCATATTATGGGTTCGCAACATTACCCAGATCGATTGGCGAATTTGACGTTTAGTAAAAACCCTTCCTACGGGTAATTTGAGGTTTAGCCGCCGGTGTTCACAGATGGAGGGCAGACTGATGCCCAGATGATTTCCCGTAACCAAAGTTCCAGTGGCAAGGACCTTCACGTTATGTAGATTTTTACTACATAGATCATTTTTCAGATTCATTTTACTACATTCATCATAGATAAAGAAATTTATTTAATACATTTAATGACAAGAATTATTCACTTTTTCGGTATCAAGGACCTTTAAAACGACTTTTATAAGGAAAAGTCTTCGCTTTGCTGCAGCATTTCAACGCATCCTCTGTATTACGTACGTAATATTGGAGAAAGTAAAACTTGAACAGGGAAATCAAGAGCTTGGGTGAAGGCTTCACTTGAAAAAGAGACAAACAAAAATAACAGAACTTCCCAATATTACAGAAGACAATGAATGAACTATGAAAATATTGCTCTCTAAGCAAGATATTTCTATAAGCAATCTATATCTTTTCCACGATCGTTGCGAACTCACATCGTACTGAAACGTCAGGGGGAATTTCAATATGCATTTAAGGATCCGTCACAAAGTTAGGAATTATGGAAGTTTTGTGGCTGATGTAGGAATCGAAGGGCCAACCGGACCCAGTCTCCCCTACTTTAATCATTACCAGTACAATTACATAAATATAAATTCTTGAATTATAAATTATTATCTTGAAAATACAGGATGTCCAGGAATGGAACATAGCAACTTCGAATAAACGCTTTTAAGACAATTTTCAACATATTTTGTGTAATAAACACCTTGGATATTCCGCATGTCTGTGCGGCAATAAGCACTGAAAAGTTGATTTGAAAAAATACTTTCTATGCAAACTTTGCATTACAGAAACATATAAACACTCCATAAACATTACATTGTTTATTATTTGCAAAAGAGTTGAATATATGTGTTCGGAAAGAAAAAATTAACACAGAAATAAAAAAACAGTCGAATTGTGTAAATTGAATGGATGTTTGTATGTTCCTGTATGTTAGTAATTGTCCATTCAACCTTCATCATTTCACACTTGATCCCTCCAGAGCCAACAACCTTGGGGGTGTAAAAATGGATTCATCATAGAAATGCTGATCCCCCACAAATTCTCGTGCACTTATATTTCTTTAGTAAATCTCCTTTTTAAATGATACCTTTATCTAAAATTGAAATATTATCGAAATTAAAAGTGTGTTGTGAATATATGGCAACATAATGATGTTTGATGAAAAACATTTATTTTATTTATGAGTTTATGTATCAGCAAGAAAACGCAGCGCAGGAAGTTCGAATTTGCAAAAATACAACGTTCGCCGAAAATGAGACCCACTCTATTTTTTGCCTTTGTTTGCTACATACGAGGGAAAAAATTGAAGTATTACATAGGAGGCATTTTTTGAGAAAATAATGTTTATTATTGTTAAATATCGTTTTAAATTGTTTCAAAATTGCCCTTTACCCTCAAAAGTAAGCAAAACTACTAATATTTTCGAACAATTGAACTGAAAATTATTTAAAGACTGTTTTTGATGAACATATTTTATTAAGGAAAAAATATATTCATTATTTTAGTTGAAGGAAAAAAATTGAACTTTTGCAATTTTGAAAAAACATAGAAAATTCATCGAAAATGAGTCTCGTACCATTTCTCTTTTAACACAAGTAATTATTTCTTAATCTAATATATACATTTATACATTTCAGTTGCCGTCTGGCTTAGTGTAAATTCTTACGTCTATGACTATTCTAGTTCTACACGTTATCCGAGGATGAAGTTTAATCCTACAATTTGCAGCTATTCTTGAAAAAATGTTGAATATATTATTGAATCTTTATGTAAAGTACCCTCAAAAATCAAAATATTTGTTTCAAACGTGCAGAACCTAGAATTTGTTCAGATCGATCGGGCAAATCAACTATGGGGAAAATCGACTGAACGAACATTGACCACAGACTGACCAGCTACCAGATCACGTGAATAATATTTCTTTTGTCAAAACTTCGCGGTTTTCATGCGCACGATTACAATACTTTATCTTCTTACAAAGAAAGGATGAGAAAGTAAAAGGTTACAAATTAAAAAACGAAATATGCTTTTTCCTTCATAATGTACAACAATCTGCTGCAAACCTGATTCCGAATCCTCAACTCCATCGAATATATTTGCTATGACCAACACATGGTTCACCCGATATTATATTCTTGTATATTATTTCTATTGTCCTTATTAATATTGTCAATCCCCTCCTTCGAAAGTAAGTTTCAGTTACCTCACTGATACAATGTATAGTTAATAATTGAACTCATGTTTTGCCTAAATGGTTTAAACGTTCTTAGAATGCGCTGTGGTAAAGGGTAATATTACAGATGAGAAAATAAGTATATTACAGAAGAAAAGTAAAAGTCGCAACAAGAATGGCTTTTGAAAAAATGTTCATGATTTTGTCTATTTTGACTAATATATTTTAGATTATTTTATTCTTTACATCATAAATTAATTGCATTGCCGTGTATTTTTTTATTGAAATTATTTTAAGAAAATGATGTAAACATGGTTTCCGGCCAGTGGGCCTACGTAAATAATGTCTAATATTTGAGGTCTTGTGACACTTGGTCCACTCTAGAAGGTCTACATTATAAATGCCTGCACATCGATTTAGTCTACAAGAAAATATGTCTAATGCAAGTACGTCTACATGCAGAAATGTCTGTTGCTTAAGTTACAAACAAAGGTGACTACATGCAAAAATTAATATTGAAAATATGTATAACTACATGCAAATATTTCAATATTCTATAACTACATATTTCTATATACGTTAAATTTATTATTACGTTAGATATATTACTTTAACAGAATACTCGTTAGAAATTTCTATTAGATTTTTAGCTAGTAGACATTTAGCTGATAGACTTTGTAGTCAGGATAGGCCTCCTGACCGAAACCGTGAAAGAAAGAAGAGGAAGAAGACTTTGTAGTTAGTAGTCATTTTTGTTGAAATCGTCATTTTAGATGTAGATATTTTTGTTGGTGGACATTTTAACTGAGGGCGTGTAATCATTAGACTCAATATAACTGTAAACCACATTTTTATTAGACATTTTTTGTGTTCGTTATTAATACAGTTAAGCCTTTTTCCTGTAGATCCACTGACATAGAACCCTAAGCATTTGCATTAATGGAATAATCTTGGTTAAATAGTAATTTCCCCTTAAATACATTTTTCGTTTTTAATATTGTTCAAAAAACATTAAGAGAGTTTGGTACGTGAAGAAACATTGACACAGTTACGTAATAATGTCATAATCACCTACATGTCCATCTATTACGAAAGGAAGTTGGTGTTGAGGAAAAAAAAGGTTTTAAAATATTGAAACAATATATTATTAATTATTAATATCATGTATTTCTATTGACAATATTATAATATAATTTTAAATAAATACATTACATTCTCTAATTATTTTTTGGCAAAAATATGACATTTAATCATTATGAAACAAAAAACATTTTCATGGCTTAACCTGGCATTCATAACTTATATAAATCTTTCATCTCTTCCAAAAGGTAATATCATTCGTTTTTATAGATTGTAATAATTTGAAAAACATCGAAAGCTGTATCACATGTCAATGAGTTTAGTTCATAGAATTTAAATGCTTAAATATTTTTGTATTCGTTTTATTAAATTATTAAACTTTATTTCTTTAGTCACATCCGCAATCACTCAAATCTACGACAACTCTCACTACAGAGGACGAACAAGAATCACTGCCGGAGCTATCGTCTTCAATAATAACAACTTCCTCGGAACTAGAAGAACTACTGGAACTGCTGGAGCTCTCGTCTTCAATGATTACCAGTTCTTCGGAGCTTGATGAACTATCTGAAGAACATGAACTTTCGTCGTCAATGATGATAATTTCCTCATTGCTGGAAGAACTGCTAGAACTGCCGGAACCGCCGGAACTGCCAGAACTGCCAGAACTGCCGGAACTGCTGGAACTGCTGGAACAATGTTCTTCAATGATAACCACTTCATCTGAATCTGATGAACTGCCAGACTCGCTGGAACTTTCCTCGTCAATTATAATAATTTCCTCGGAGCTGGAAGAACTACTGGAACAGCCGCAGCCTTCGTCATCAATAATTATAATTTCCACGGTGTTATCAGAACTGCCAGAGCAGTCGCCGTCGATTATGATGATGTCATCAGAGTCTGAATCAGCCGAGCTGCTTGAATCGTGAATGCTTATTTCCTCTGAAGACGAGGAAGAACTGCTGGAACTGGATTCATCAGAACTGCTGCTAGACGAACTGTGGGAACCGCTTGATTCATGAATGATGATTTCTTCTGAAGACGATGAAGAACTGCTGGAATTGGATTCATCACAACTGTTGCTAGAACTGCCAGATGAGCTGTCGGAGCTGCTTGATTCATGAATGATTATTTCTTCTGAAGACGATGAAGAACTGCTGGAGCTGGAATCATCACAACTGTTGCTAGAACTGCCAGATGAGCTGTCGGAACTGCTTGATTCATGAATGCTTATTTCTTCTGATGACGATGAAGAACTGCTGGAGCTGGATTCATCAGAACTCCTGCTGGACGAGTCACTGGATCCGCTTGATTCATGAATGATGATTTCTTCTGAGGATGAACTACTATCTTCAGAAGAAGAATCTTCGTGGGAACATGATAATTCTATTACAATTAGTTCTTCTGACGAATCATCTCTGCATGGAGCGTGTAATATTTTTTTAATGTTGTGGTCTCCAATATCAGCAAACATCTGAAAAGGTTATGAAAGGGGTAATTAGTTTTTGTTCATTTTTTAATTGACTCTTTCACTCTATGTAGAAATATAATTATGATACTAAAGAATACAGTTGTGTTCCAATTATTCTCACCTGAGCAGTCACAGTAAGAGCGAATACCACCTCCAGCATTACAAAGCAAAAGATTGAAGTATTCATGTTGGTAAAATGTATGTCTTAAAATACACTAAAAGTTTTTAATTAGAAATGAAAGTTTTGGAGAAAATTAAACTAAATCTAATTGTTAATATTTAATGAGGGAAGAGAAGGAGTAGTTTGTGAGGGAGGAGTTGAAAGGAGAGGATGGGAATTGGAAAAAGGTTGGGGGATGTGTGCGTCCTGCGACTGCACTTACACCGTTTGTGAAGTACAAGTCGAGGACTGCATGCTCTTCTGCTGTCTGTGGAGGTTTATATACGCTTCTCCGGCTCATATGTTTGTGTTTTCCTAGCATGTAAAGTGGATTTGTCTGCCGTGGACGTGATTGAACATCACAACATCGCAAGCCCGTTCTGGGCGCCGCATACCTGATGCCTGGGTCACGGCCCCCCTCAACCTCCCTTCTTGCCCGGGGTGTTTTGCGGACGTGACGATGGTTCATTCGCTTAGATCGCTTGCGATTGCATATGCGCATAAAGCGCACGAAAGCAGCTTGTGCAGATAAGGTGGCACATGCGACATTTTTTTAAATATAATAATAAATTGTATTCATCTTCACTTAAGTTAACAAATACAGCAAGGTATCCGAATGGTAAAATGCTAACTCTCGGATACAATTAACGTAAGTTTATAACGAAATAAAAGACTGAAATAAGGTACAAAGACCACCCAATTTAAATGCAAGAAACAATTTTACTTTATACTAACCTAACATACATGCAGAAAATTATACAAAACATTATACAAACAAATACATTGTTATTACAAAATTATTATTTCGGTTTCGCCTTCAGCCAATTGCAATTACTCGTACATTAATAAATTCCTTTTAGAATACGACAGATATAAGCGGTGAGATTTATAATTATGAAAATTGTCCATATTTAAATGAATGGGAGCAATGTATCAGTATGAGTTTAGTTTACTATATGAACATACGATTTTGCTTTGTGATTTTCTAAAATCTTATGGGAAACATACAAATTCACAATTTTTTCGTATTTCACACATGTTTGCTTTGCAACATAGTGGCGTATTTGAATTTTTGACTAGATAATATTTGAGGAATAAACTCGCTCCAAAATAATAGTTTTTAGAGTGCTAGAACTTCTGTCAATGAGATGGTCGTATAAATAAATATGTCTTTCCAAAGAGGAAGAGTGCAAGTATCAGCTTAAGTGAAAGGGACAATATTCCACATTTCTTTTTCTTTTCTTTCTCGTAAAAATAACTAAATATTTAGAAGTATAATAATATTCCACTAATATATTCCTTTCTTCTTACATTGACCCCTATAACATGTGAAGAAATTCAGAGATCGTGAATAAATTCGGTGTCGAAATTTCCACCATTTTCGTTTCCGACATAATAAAATAAAAGGTACTTGTGTCTTTCTGTTGGAACCATATTTCTCCTCTCCGCAATTCAATATTCAAAAATGTGTTCAACAACTATTATGATCCTTCAAATAATGCACAGATTCTGTGAAAAATTTTGTACTTCAATCTCAGATTACATTTGAAAACTTATCCTTATTACGCCTTTCTTGGAAGTTCGTCAACATGTTAAGACAAATATCAATAAAAATGTAATTTTTATTTTTATTTAAGCGTTCGTGATTTCAAAAATTTCATACGTGAATTTTTGTTCTTTGAAAGACGTTTTTAACAATTGTGAACTTGTGTTTAACGGTTATGTGAAGAGAAAAGTGTTACCTCACTCCGCTCCTTACAAATTGCTATAAACAACCTCCTTGAAGGGTCACAAGAAATAGAAAGATATGAAATGCACAACGATGGCTACAGTGAATAAACCGTTAACATTTTTTAAAAAAGTACTTAGTTTTTAGGATAGACTGAGACCACCGTAATTTCTGTTTTCTTTTGCACATTTAATACCACTAACTTAACTCCAACGTTTCACTTCAGACCAGACCTTGAAGCCCGAACAAATCTTCGAACCTTGGACCATGTTCATGAGTGGGAATGAATACTCTTTTGCTACGGTAGGCCATACACAAAACATAATAATATAAAATGTATTGTTTTCAAACCCTTCGAGATACTGAAATGGAGGAGAAATATATATTTTTTTTAAATAGCAATCCGTTGGAAATAATCGTTAATCAAGTTTTGTGAATTGCTATCGGATGTTTGTACACTTCACAACTCGACAATATCTTAGATTATCTCTTAGAAAGTTTTACTAATCCAAAGACGAAAATCGTTCTATCATTGATGTACGCTCTCAAATTGTTTGCAAGAAGAATCTCTTATCTATACAAATATTTTCCAAAAACCTCAGAGCACAATTAAAAAAATAGTGCCCGTTGTATATACTTTCACATAAAAGAGCTTTCTCAAAGATGGCTCCAAATTTTGCGATGAAAACTTGCATTTAAAACCAACCTTCGCTAATATCACCAACTATTTTGCAATACTCAATTCAAACTTACTTTCTTCTATTAGGGGACCTAAATTTGAAAAAAAATTAGAAAAAATATATATTTTGTGATAAACATAATTTTCTCAAAATAAAGGTGATATGGAAGTAAACTAAATCATTGTGTGAATTGATTTTTTTTCGTAAATGCATGTCATTGTCATTCAATATTTTCTGTAGAGTAGGCTAATTTTGTGAAAATTCTCGATTATTGGGTGCGTTTTTTCCTAGACTTTAAACGCGTAAATAAGTTTGTTTGCACAGTTGCTATCGAAACAAATAGTTTCAAAATGTTTCAGATACATAAATTCAATATTACAAAGCGCATTAAAGGCGGAGTATGCATACAAAGGTGAATGTTGAATTTTTTTCTTCAAATTGTTATATTTGAAAACCGTAACACGACTACAATTAGTACGATTATGTGATTCGGCTTCATGACACAGGGCTAGTACGACAGGTGAGCCAATGTACGTGAACGCTAAGCCTGTGGATTTGAAACATGCGTAAGACATGAAGTTTTCAGTGTCGTTTGAGGCGGGGGGATCGGAACAATAGTTGAAGCACTGATGTGGGGTCAAGGAATACCATGTGTGTGTGTGTGTGTAAAGGTACAGGACCGAGATAGGCCTATGCGATGTTTGGGGTGTGCGCAGTTGCTCTTTATCATCTCCACGAAGGAGCGTTGGCCACCGCGAGAGTCACTAGTAGACTTTCGGGCATCGAAAAGTTTAAGAAACTAACTACTACGAGAAAGGATGGGCCTGAAGCCCCATGGGCGACCTATGGTCGTGCAAACTACTCATAATAATGTATCATATCATAAGTTAATAATATGTAAAAATGTTAATTAATGTGATAATGTCCACTATTTAGTATATTAACCAGTGATATTTTATATTAAATCAGGCTTCAACAAAGCAAGTACAATTTTCAATGGCCAGAAGAATATTTATAACATAATTAGCATAAGGGATATAGTTTTTCTGAGGTATTTTGAAAGACCAATTTTAGCGAAAGTAATATATATATATATATATATATATATATATATATATATATATATATATATTACTTTCGCTAAAATTGGTAAAATAGTATATATATATATATTTGTTTATAATATTATTTTTAATTTAATTATCTTTGATTTTATGTTTAATTAGAATAGCTTAATTTCATAGTTGTCACTGTTGATCTTGTTTATTTGGCGTAAAATTAAGATTTAAATAAATATTGAAGCTAACAAATAATGTGATGTAAAGCAATACCAAATATCATTATTCTTTTACTGGAGATTTAATTTGAATCCAATGTGTCGTATAAAGAACACACAATTTTACCAGCTTAGTATAACGGGAGGGCAAAGAAATAATTTTATTTCTCAAATTGAATATTTTAAAAACGTACAGTGAAAGATTTCCTGGCGTATGGACAGATATAAAGACGTAAATATTCGTTTGACACAATTACATCTTACTAACATTGTTTTATTGTTTAGTTTGTATAACTTACCTTTAGAAAATTATCATAAATAAAACCTACATAAACATTCATTTGGTTCATTGGTGTTTATTCCGCCTTCACTACACGCCACACACATCCAAAAATAAGGGAATTCTTATCCTTCAATGACAAAACCTTCAGCCTATAATGTACGAAATGTTATTTAGTAGGGGGTACTTAGCTCGTAGCCACAGTTCAAACATTACATTATAATTATTGACCTATTGACATGTCGACCTAACAATATTTTACTTTATCGCCTTACAATGTTTTTGAGTGAGAATCCTTTCTTTACTCTCATGTATAAGTGATATTCTTGCCAGTGGCATTACTTTACAAAAGCAACACACATACATGGGCCCAACTCGTTGCAACGTTGCAACGTATGTGTCCTGTATCGGTGAGATCGCACAACCTGCACAGAGCCAGGGGTTGAAGAACCAGCTGCTTGTCGCCGTGGCCC